AAAATGTGCATGGTGGTGGTAGTGGTGGTGCCGGCCGTGAGGCGCCAGCATTGGGCCATGCTGCCACCCACACCGCTGCCTCAGCTGATCTACAACAAAGGCCACCATCCCCCACCTACCCACCTCACCAGCCTCCACAACCACAACCTCCACAACCAGAACCACCTGTCATTGTCCAGTACGCACCAGCAGACCGCACCTGGGATTGCAGGAAGCTGTCAATTTTATTCCAAATCCCAACCAGTTTGATGAAAGCCAAAGTGGAATATGGCCATCTTGAACACTTGGGAACAATTCCAGCGAACCGGAATGTTTCGAGTTATTCTTTGACGAACCCCTGATGGAAATTATTGTCAGGGAAAGCAACAGATACTACGAGTACACCATGGCAAACACAATACTTTCACCTAGCTCACGGCTACACAGGTGGAAGGAGACAGCTGTGGCTGAGATGTATCTTTTCTTTGCCACAATAATGCTTATGTCACATGTGTATAAACAGTGTGAAATCATACTGGTCAACAGACCACCTGATTGCAACCCCAGGCCTGACAGAAATGACAGGTTATATAAGATTAGGAATGTTTTTGTGTATCTGAGAGAAATTCAATATGTATTTTTATCCCTTCAGGAAGCTTGTAATTGACGAATCTTTGATTCTGTTAAAAGGAAAACTCTCTTTCAAGCAGTACATACCAAGCATAAAGTTGTTTGTGCTTTGCGATTGTTACAGTGCTCTGGTATTGGATATTATTGTGTACACTGGAAATTATACATTGCAAAATACCAGGAAGTTATTGGGCATCTCTTGTGATGTGGTTAGAACAATGATAGAACCATATCTTGGTAAGGGGCATATATTATATACTGATAACTGGTACACAAGCCCCTCACTCAGTGATTTTTTGTGATTGAACATGACGGATGTGTGTGGCACAGTGCGTGAAAATCATAAATGTATGCCCAGGTTTGACGCTGGCACTCATACAGGTGAGGTTCAGGCATTTGCTGCCAATGACATCATGGCATTTTGGTGGCATGACGAACGAGATGTCACACTGTTATCATCAGTTCACCCTAACGAAATGACAAACACTGGCAGGCAGGATAAAGAGAGCAATGAACCCATTCTAAAACCTGCAGCTGTGATTGATTACACCCTAAGTATGTTGTCAGTGTACAAATGTGACATGCAGATTGGGATTGCTGATTGTGTTCGCAAGAGTTATAAGTGGGACATAAAAATCTTTTTCCATCTTCTGGACATTTCCATGCTCAGTGCTTATAATATGTATAATTGATCAAAGCGACAGAAATCTTCTTTTCCACTTCCATCAAAGTCAGAACTATCAGTCACAGCAATTTGCCTCGGAGTGAGAGCTGCCTTGCGGCGAGGCATGGTGAACAATGGTTACTGAGGCTGCATTCCCACAATGCCATGTGGGTGCCTATAATTTTTGTTTATGGTGCATATACACCATGTAGACCTGTTGTCTCAGATGTAGGCCTACCAGCCTCTTTGTGCTAAATTTGATGCCACTAGAATTTTGGCATAGATCTATGGTTTGGACCCTCAACGTATAGCCCTAGATCTATGGCACGGACCCTGAAAAAGTTATTAATTTCTTAGTATGTACATATTATATTAATTATTATTATTATTAATACATATGCATTATTATTATGTTTATTATTATTATTTAATTTAGGGAACTGGAGCACAGATCCAGTTCCCTAGATCAAGAGCTCATCACCACATACATATTAATAAAATAATAATAATAATAATAATAAAAATAATAACAATAATAACAGTAAGGAGAAACTTCAAAAGGCTGCCAGTAATTGGTGCCACCATCAGCAAAACATTGGTAACCACTACTAGTACACTTTTTGCCTGTCTAGACATAAGTAGTCTATTATTATTATTAGGTTAAGTCTCCCCAAAACTGCCTCGGCATGATAGTGGCTTTCTTTGCTCCATTCATATTATATGAAAACACACATTGTAACCTTAGCAAAGAAATAAATATTTTATTTATTTATTTATTTAAGGAACCTCCCTTGAGGGGGAAGTTCGCATCCTGAAATTTCGTTCGTATCCAGAAGCAAAAAATTGACCAAAGGATGGTTCATATCCTGAAAAATTCGTATGGTGGGGCGTTCGTAAGCCGAGGTTACACTATGTACCTTTTTTTTCTCATTTTTCTATTATTTCATATAGTTTTTATGTTCTGATTTCATAACCAATCTTTGTTCGGATACTAATATCAGGTAGTGAAATTCTACTCAAATTGTCACAAACACACTGACAGGTAGACAATTACACCTGCCTTGGCCATTTACTATTGTCTAGGAATACATACAAAGTATTTATAGGTCCCAGCAATGTTTTGGATACACAGGAGCATAGAAGAAGAAGAAGAAGAAGAAGAAGAAGAAGAAGAAGAAGAAGAAGAAGCAGAAGAAGCAGCAGCAGCAGCAGCAGCAGCAGCAGCAGCAGCAGCAGCAGCAGCCGCAGCAGCCGCCGCCGCCGCCGCCGCCGCCGCCGCCGCCGCCGCTGCTGCCGCTGCCGCTGCCCGCTACCGCTGCTGCTGATGCTGCTGCTGCTGCCGCTGCCGCTGCTGCTGCTGCTGCTGCCGCCGCTGCTGCTGCTTCTGCTGCTGCTGCTGCTTCTGCTGCTGCTGCTGCTGCTGCTGCCGCCACTGCTGCTGCTGCTGTGCTGCTGCTGCTGCTGCTGCTTGCCGCCACTGCTGCTGCTGCTGCTGCTGCTGCTGCTGCTGCTGCTGCTGCTGCTGCTGCTGCCCGCCCGCCCCCCCTCCCTTGAAGTATGATGTAACATAAGTGTCGGTGACAAGCTCTGCAGGGTGCAGTGATAATAATAATAATAATAATAATATCTTTATTTACTACAAGTACATGTACATGGTATACAGGCCTAGCTGACAACAATGACATACTACTATATAGAAAGCCCCTTGTTATGCTCTGCATTTCGGGCAAATTAGGTCAGTGTCCCAGGATGTGACCCACACCAGTCGACTAACACCCAGGTACCCATTTTACTGATGGGGAACAGACAACAGGTGGAAAGAAACACGCCCAATGTTTCTACTCTGGCTGGGAACAGAACCCAGGCCCTCGCTGTGCGAAGCGAGAGCGTTAGCCACCAGGCCACCAGAGCCCCAGAGTGGTGACATTTGATGAGCCCATGGGAGGGTGCAATGATAAGATGAGATAAGGGGTGATATTTGATGAGTGTTGGCATCTGTCTCTGCTTATGTGTCTGTCTGCTTGTCTCTCTTTCTGTCTCTCTGATTATCTCTCTGTCTCAGAGAGAGCCACTGTGAACCAACAGATATTCTTACGCATTATATTTACAAGCACAGTATAGCACTTTGGATTTTTTTGGGATATCCTAGGTAATTTACACTAAGTATAATTGTATTATGTGTACCTGTGAGATAGAAATAGAGACAGATAGATAGAGACAGATAGACAGACCTATTCATTGCGTTTGGTGCTTGTTTATTAACTCTGTCACAATCCCCTTTCTGAAACTGTCATTCTATGTCACAAAATATTCGAAAAAAAAAAATTTTTCTTATGAAAATGTTAAGATTATTTTTCTGATTGTTTTAGTCCAAAAAATTTTTTTTTGCCATCAGTACTTACCAAGATATAGAGGCGTGAAGTTTGCAGAAAATGAGCCGCACATGGCAACAGCGGCGACTGCCTCTCACCCGGTAAACTTCGGTTTACTTGTATTTGAAGAATCTGTATTGATAAAGCCACTGGATGGCGGAACATCTACAGTAAAGATAACCAGATGTTGCACAATTGTCTTAACTTTCATGAGTGTAAAGGCCTATTCATTGTTTTTGGTGCTCGTTTATTAAGTGCAACTGTGAAATAAGCTACCATGGTGGTGATGGTGGTGGTGGATGTTATTGGTGGATGGTGGCAGTGGTGGATGGTGCTGGTGGATGGTTGTAGTGATGGTGGTGGTGGATGGTGGTAGTGGATGGTACTGGTGGATGGCAGTGGTGGATGTTATTGGTGGTAGTGGTGGATGGTTTTGGTGGATGGTGGTGGATGGTATTGGTGGTGGATGGTATTGATGGATGGTGGTGGTGGTGGATGGTATTGGTGGATGGTAGTGGATGGTATTGGTGGTGGTGGTGGATGGTATTGGTGATGGTGGTGGTAGTGGTGGATGGTGGTGGTAGATGGTGGTGGATAGTGGTGGGGTGGGTGGATGGTGGATGGTGCCTTCTTCAGAGATCAAGGAGATTTGTGCAATGTGGAATAGGGTGCAGGCATTTGCTGAAAAATATCACCCTGAGCAAGCTGAAACAAGCCATCTCTGCAACAAGTTCAGTGACAGAACCCTGTCCCATTTTAGGGAAATCTTAGAGGTGCCAGAGACAGAGGGACTATGGACAGTATTTTGTGAGACAAGGGTCCAGTGACTCTCAAGCTGGTCCTAGTGGCATTAAAAGACAAAGAAGAGAACTAACCCCAGATAAGGACTTGTTACCTAAAGTCTTTATGGAAGGGGATTCCCCTTCCAAACAATAAGTGCTCCCTCACTCCTCACTATCTTCCAAATTCCATCAACAATCTTCAGTAACGGTAAGTAAAAATGTTATTTTATATGTTTATTTAAATGTTTATTTATCTATTACTAATTGTACTGTGTAAGTTTATTGTGTGTATGTAAAATTATAATTAATCTCTATAAAATGTATTTTTTTCTGAATATTTTTGAGTTTCTGGAATGAATTAATAGTGTTTACATAATTTCTTACAGGAAATATTGCTAAGAATTTAAAATGTTTCGACTTTAGAACTAGCTCCTGGAATGGATTAAGTTTAAAACTCAGGGTTACATTTTATATTAGTATGAGCAGCTCTCAGCTATTTTGTGTTTACCTTTATCTACTAAAAGTGACACAAAGCACCCAGAACTCACCACGAGGAGGTGGCTGCTAATAGAGTTCCATTTTTTTTTTTTTTTTTTTTTTTTTTTTTTTTTTTTTTTTTTTTTTTTTATACGAATGAGTATGAACCTTGTTGATAGATGGAGATGTTGGTTGGTGTGTCTGAGTATGGTTATCATACTGGGCATAACATCAATCTCTTCACATCTTTTTGGACTTTTCGTTTTTTGTTTTTTTGCCCTTACCTGTTGACTCCTCCTTTTTTATTTTTTTGCCCTTACCTGTTGACTCATTTTTTATTTTTTTGCCCTTACCTGTTGACTCCTCCTTTTTTATTTTTTTGCCCTTTCCTGTTGACTCCTCCTTTTTTATTTTTTTGCCCTTACCTGTTGACTCCTCCTTTTTTATTTTTTTGCCCTTACCTGTTGACTCCTTTTTTATTTTTTTGCCCTTTCCTGTTGACTCCTTTTTTATTTTTTTGCCATTACCTGTTGACTCCTTTTTTATTTTTCTAGGTTTACCGTCACGTCTAAACAAACCATAACCATCATAGAGGTCATCATAGTAGTCGATGACATGGTTGTTGTCGAGGGATTCATGGTGGTCAGGGAGGTGGCTCCTCTCAGGGAATTTGTTGTTGCTGGGGACATTGAGGGTCTCACCGAATTTCTTCTTCTTCTTCTTCTTCTTCTTCTTCTTCTTGTTGCAAACATAGTGCCACTCACCAAGTTCATCATTGTTGGTGGCGGGGCACCTCTCTCCCTGTGGTATCTTCTTCTTCTTCTTCTTCTTGGAAGTGCATTCATAGTTGTTGGGGTCATGGTTGTCACAGTAATTCTCAAAGTCAATGTGGGCAACTCTTCTGAACAATGCCATTGTTGATACTAAAATGTGGAGGCTCAGAACAATTATTAGATTTAGCTGGAAATCCACAAATTTCAGATGATCAGTTAATGATAATTTATTGGAAATTCAGAGTTAATGTGATCCAAATAAAATATATGAGAAATATAGTGACCTTCGAATTCTGGTACTGCCTATGTGTATACTAGTGGTAATAAATGTGGAAAATAGTGATAATAATATATATAGTGAATAATGATAGAAGTGATGTATAGTGATGGTGAAGGATGTGGTAAATAGTGAAGGTGATAAATGTAGAACATAATGATAAATGTGGTATATAATGATGGTGATAGATGTGGTATATGGTAGATGTGGTAATTTTATATAGTTATGTTGTGTATTGTTGCTGATTAGTGATGTGTAGTGATACTGATTTGTAGTGATGTTAATGTGTAGTGTTATGTATTGATGTTGAGACCACTGTTCCTTGAGACCACCTTATTTTGAGATCACTATTCCTTGATTAAGCCCCAAAAAATTTTTGTGATCAGTCCTTACCGAAATAGAGGCATAAAGTTGGCAGAAAATGAACCGTGTATGGCAACAGCAGCGAATACCGCTCACCCGGTAAATTTTGGTTTACTTGCATTCCAAGGTTTCTTGTTTTTTTCACTATTTTATTTTTTCACATTGCTTATGTGGCCTGTGAGTCCAAAGTAAGGTGCAATGTACTTATATATACTCGTTGTGTATAACACAATAAGTACACAAATATAATTATCAATATATTGTTTACAAAACTTGTTTACACAAACATACAATACAAAAATTTTTTTATTACTATTGTTCTGTTTTATATATATATATATATATATATATATATATATATATATATATATATATATAATATATATATATATATATATATATATATATATATATATATTTATGTATATATATATATATATATATATATATATATATATGTATATATATAATATGTATATAGAAAACAGAACAATAGTAATAAAAAAATTTTTGTATTGTATGTTTGTGTAAACAAACATATACATATATATATACATATATATATATATGTATATATATAATATGTATATATATATATGTATATATATATATGTATATATATATATATGTATATATATGTATATATATATATGCAATAAGATCACAGTAAACAGGTGATTTCAAAATATGCAAAACAACCACTCTGAAAGAATAGAGAAATTCCAAGCACTTTCGTGACTACTCACATTATCAAGGAACTATGAAAGTTCCATATCAATGTAGAGACAACCTGTACACAATGTAACTTGTACACAAACCAGACGTGTACACTGTTTACAAAACTTACCTTCGCCTGGTTTGTTTACATAACTCTGCGCCTGTACTCTCTCATGCACTCATTCTTTCTCTCTGGTATGGTAGCCTGGCTGACTACCATACATACCACACTTGATTTTTTTACAATAAATACTACTCATCTCACCCTATATTTTAAGGTAAGTAATGAGTGAACTGTATATACATTTTATCGCTCTGGATGCTTAAATATCATAGAATAGTATGTGTGGGTGGGTGCCTGGTATGGTAGCCTTGGCTGACTAACCATACATACCACACTTGATTTTTTTACAATAAATACTACTCATTCTCACCCTATATTTTAAGGTAAGTAATGAGTGAACTGTATATACATTTTATCGCTCTGGGATGCTTAAATATCATAGAATAGTATGTGTGGGTGGGGTGGCCTGGTATGGTAGCCTGGCTGACTACCATACATACCACACTTGATTTCTTACAATAAATACTACTTGTCTCACCCTAGATTAAGATTATAAATATTTTAAGGTAAGTAATGAGTGCACTATGTGTGTATTGTACTTTTTTATTGTATTTGATGCCTGGTTCTATTGCTAACATAATATATGTTAGTGTAAACTTGTTATCTAGTGTTTGTATGCATTTGTAAGTGGAAAAAAAGGGTGTTCCACTTTACGGCGGTTTCCGCTTTATGGCGGTAGCCTGGAACCTAACCCGCCGTATAAGTGGGGCCCTCCTGTGTATATATATATATATATATATATATATATATATATATATATTATATATATATAATATATATATATATATATATATATACAGGAGGCCCCGCTTTACGGCATTTCGCTTTATGGCGTTCCACTAATACGGACATTTCAAATTATGACCAAAACTCGCTATACGGCTCCCCCCACCTGTCTTTCTAATACGGTCACAGCGGCCTGCCGAGTTTGTTTACATTCTCCCTGAGCACATCTCCTTATTATGTCTGGAAACTTTTCAAAATTTCAAGTGTTTTAAAGTTATTTTATATTTTATATGTATTGTACTTGATAATTAAACTTGTGTACACCTGTACCTAAATAAACTTACACACTGTGCTGGCATGTAGGTACACATTAAAATCACTAAGAGTCTCTCTACTCTTGATGCAATAATAATAATAATAATAATAATAATAATAATAATAATAGTAATAATAATAGTAATAATAATCTCTTGGGCGCATTAATGTCGCATATTTCGTTGATATAGACATTTCCCTTAATCTATCTATGATATTTTTTTCAAAATTATATAAGAAACACATTATGTAACACACAAACATGATACATGCACCCACAGTATAAAAATTTATACAAAAATATACGAGATGTTTACCAAACGGTTTGTAGAAGTGTCGGAAGAATTACGTTTTCTCTAGCCCTCACCTGTTACTAGGGATAACTGTAGAAAAATATTCCTTTCGTATGCCTTCACTTTATAGCTATAATTCTGTACTAACTTGTACACAGTGTAAGAGTATTTGTTTCATGATTTAATTATTATAATAATAATAAAAATATTATAAGGTAAAAGTTTCACAAACTCTTACAAATGTACATGAATGAACTTAAACTTGGACACGTATTAATACCCGTCTATTTCGCCTAGAACCGATGATCGTCCACAACCTGTTTCAGTTTGTTTGTTTGTTTACGCTGTCTGAGCTCGGGTATCATTAAATGTTGTATATTACGTTAATATACACATTTTTCATTAATCCCATCCGTGATATTTTTTTCAAATTATATAATAAACACATACAATAACATAAATACATAACAACATATGTGTAGAGAACCTAGGATAGACCCAAAAAACAGTCAGAGTGACTTACTTCCATTGCTTCACTCAGAGTGTCATTTCTTCTCAAAATGGATGTTAACAGTAGAATTGGAGTGTTCTTCTTTATTTATTCTACGTATCAATGTAGAGAACAACGCTGTACACAATGTAACTTGTACACTAAACCAGACGTTTACCCACAACACCTGTTTACAAAACTTACCTTCGCCTGTTTTTACATAACTCTGCGCCGTCCTCTCTCCAATGCACTCGATTCTTTCTCGCTCTGGATGGTAGCCTGGCCCGACTACCATACATACCACACTTGATTTATTACAATAAATACTACTCAGCTCACACCCTATATTTGTTAAAGGTAAGTAATGAAGTGAACTGTAATATAATTTTAAAATCGCTCTGGGATGCTTAAATATCATAGAATAGTTATGTTGGGTGGGTGGCCTGGTATGGTAGCCTGGCCTGACATAACCATACATACCACACTTGATTTCTTACAATAAATACTACTTGTCTCACCCTAGATTAAGACTATAAATATTTTAAGGTAAGTAATGAGTGCACTAAGTGTGTATTGTACTTTTTTATTGTTTTTTTGATGCCTGGTTCTAATGCTAACATAATATATGTTAGTGTAAACTTGTTATCTAGTGTTTGTATGCATTTGTAAGTGGAAAAAAAGGGTGTTCCACTTTACGGCGGTTTCCGCTTTACGGCGGTAGCCTGGAACCTAACCCGCCGTATAAGTGGGGCCCTCCTGTATATTCTTTCTTTCAACACACCGGCTGTATCCCACCGAGGCGGGGTGGCCCAAAAGGAAAAACGAAAGTTTCTCCTTTTGCATTTAATAATATATACAGGAGAAGAGGTTACTAGCCCCTTGCTCATGGCATTTTAGTCGCCTCTTACAACACGCATGGCTTACGGAGGAAGAATTCTGTTCCACTTCCCCATGGAGGTAAGAGGAAATAAACAAGAACTAGAAAGAAAATAGAAGAAAACCCAAAGGGGTGTGTATATATATGCTTGTACATGTATGTGTAGTGTGACCTAAGTGTAAGTAGAAGTAGCAAGACGTACCTGAAATCTTGCATGTGTATGAGACAGAAAAAAAAAAGACACCAGCAATCCTACCATCGTGTAAAACAGTTACAGGCTTCAGTTTTACATTCACTTGGCAGGACGGTAGTACCTCCCTGGGCGGTTGCTGTCTACCAACCTACTACCTATAATATATATATATATATATATATATATATATATATATATATATATATATCAGTGGAGAGGAATAAATGGGATTAGGTTAGGGGTTTCAAATAGAGTTAGAGCTAAAGAAGGAGTAGCAATAATGTTGAAGGATAAGATTTGGCAGGAAAAGAGGGAATATAAATGTATTAATTCAAGGTTTATGTGGAGTAAAATAAAGGTTGGATGTGAAAAGTGGGTTATAGTAAGCGTATATGCACCTGGAGAAGAGAGAAGTCTAGAGGAGAGAGAGAGATTTTGGGAAATATTGAGTGAATGCTTGGGGATTTTTGAACCAAGTGTGAGAGTACGTGTGGTTGGAGATTTCAATGCTAAAGTGGGTAAAAATGTTGTGGAGGGAGTAGTAGGTAAATTTGGGGTGCCAGGGGTAAATGTAAATGGGGAGCCTTTAATTGAGCTATGTGTAGAAAGAGATTTGGTAATAAGTAATACATATTTTATGAAAAAGAGGATAAATAAATGTACAAGGTATGATGTAGCACATAATGAAAGTAGTTTGTTAGATTAAGTATTGGTGGATAAAAGGTTGATTGGTAGGCTCCAGGATGTACATGTTTATTGAGGGGCAACTGATATATTGGATCATTATTTAGATGTAGCTAC